TTTTTAAGAAGAGACTGGACAGCCATTTGTCTGAAATGGTGTAGGGTTCCTGCCTGAGCAGGGGGTTGGACTCAATGACCTCCAAGGTCCCTTCCAACTTTATTATTATTATTATTATTATTATTATTATTATTATTATTATTATTATTATTATTATTATTATTATTATTATTATTATTATTATTATTATTATTATTATCAGAAGACGGATGGGAAGATTGCAAATGGCAATCACATGACTCTGGGATGGTGTCAAGTTGCCAAGTGCCTGGGTTTTGTTCATGTGACTTGAGGGGAGGCTGCGATTGTCATAAGCGTGAGGACCAATCACGAGCCAATTTTTTCAATGCGGTTGTGACTTTGAACAGCTGCTAAATCCGTGGGCGTAAATCAAGGACTGCCTGCAGTTGTCCATGGTTTTCCCAACTACAGTTATCAGAAAGATTTAAAATTGATAAAAAGATAGGGAGCAAAATAAGACAGAATTGGAGGTGCCATTGTGCACCAACGATGAACATGCAATTGCTTAAATCAGGGGTCTTCAAACTTGGCAACTTTAAGACTTGTGGACTTCAACTCCCAGAATTCCTCAGCCAGCCCTGGCTGGCTGAGGAATTCTGGGAGTTGAAGTCCACATGTCTTAAAGTTGCCAAGTTTGAAGACCCCTGGCGGTTAAATGTATACATTTTTGTCGAAATGTGAACAGCCATTTCTGAATTCTTCTGCATGCTCTTTTCCTCTCTTATTAGCGTTTTGAGGAAAGTCAAGGCCGAACCAATAGCAAAACTGCTTTTTATCAAGCCCTCCAGAACTCTTTGGGCGGTGAAGAATCCAACCTTCTCATCCAGGATGCAGCTACATGGTTTTATTCCCTGGAACACTCATCCACCGAGTATGCTTCCTTCTCCAGGGCGTTAGAAAATGCCACTCGGTAAGTTTCTCCCTTTTTTTTTTTTAAAGGTCGGAGAGAAATCATGGAAGTAAGGCATGGAAAAGAAAAAAAAAGGCAGGACAAGCAAAAGACGATTTCTTAGGACAAGCCATTACTCTGTAGAAGCAAGATATATTAACAAGGGCTTAGTAAAGGGTTATTGTGCTTCATTATTCTGGCTAGCAATTGTGACCTCTAGCAATTGTGACCTCTAGGATATAATCCCCATATCTTTAGTGTAGGGGTAGGCAACCTTGGCTCTTTTATGACTCGTGGACTTCAACTCCCAGAATTCCTGAGCCAGCCATGCTGAGGGGAAAGGGAGAGGTTTCCAAGCTGAGCCATGCTGGCTCAGGAATTCTGGGAGTTGAAGTCCACGAGTCATAAAAGGGCCAAGGTTGCCTACCCCTGCTTTAGTGTAATGGTTAAGATGCTGGCTTAGAAACCAGGAGACGGTAAGTTCTAATTGCATTTTAGGCATGAAAGCTGACTTTGAGCCAATCACCAGGGGACTGTGAGTTCTAGTCCTGCCTTAGGTATGGGACTGGCTTAAAAACTAGGAGGTGGTGAATTCTAATCCCACTTTTGGCATAAAGGTTAGCTGGATCACTTTGGGCCAATGATCAGACTATGAATTCTAATCTCACTTTAGGCATGAAAACCAGCTGGGTGACTTTGGGTCAATTGCCAGGAGACTGTGACTTCTAGTCCCGCCTTAGGCATGAAAGCTGACTGGGTGACTTTGTGCCAGTCACTCTATCTCAATCCAACCCACCTTCACAGAGTAACTGTTGTGTAAAAATAGAAGGAGGAAGGAATATTATGTGTGTTCATCACCTTGAGTTAATCTATGAAATACTAAAGACAGGTTGAAATCTAATCAATCAATCAATCAAAATAAATAAAGTCAATTCTTTCACCGTGAATCCATGTTCTGGGACTGCGTGGCTGAACGTGGGTTGGAAGTACTCAAAATGAATTCCTTCTAAGTATCTAAATATCAAATTGAATCTCCAGTAGTTTTTTTTTAAAAAAATCACAATAAATGCACTTTTTCTGCTGTAGAAAAAACACCAGCTCCCCTCTCCCCATCCAAGGCGCACATACTATACTTCCCAATGCTTTGGCACATGTGTTTATCAAAATTGTGGCGTAGCACGCATGAATGTCAGGATAAACATAAGCTTCACAGCGCATTGTGGACGAGATGCTAACTTTGATGCCCCCTGCAGAGGTGTACATAGGCAGAAGAGGGAAGAAGTCAAAACCGAAGCGTTGGATAAATGTATCAAGTTGAGTTCAGTTTTAAATTATGGGCTGCAGACCTTCCAACACATTCAAGAAAGACATTTTGAGCAGGAGAGCCGTAACCCTTAAATACCGTCTCTTGCGGCTGACGAGTATTGCTTTTGTTTTCTTTGGCTCCTCATATGTCATTTCTTCGAGTTTTAAATTTGGCAACTTTACCACATTGGACTTGAAATAAGAAACCGACTGCCATATGCTCCTCAGGATATCCATTCTTGTTCATTCTTTGTGATGAATTTTTTTAATCAGAGAAGGAGTAAGATACCNATTTAAACACAGCCTTAAGTTTGTTAAAGGCAGAAAGGTGACTGAAACAGGAATTAGAAGCAATCAACTGCATGCTTAAAAGAGGGCTGAAACTTGGAAAAGAGAAAAGTTTACAAATTATTTTGACGTATTCTTTTATGTTGAATTCTCCACGGAACATCTATATCCCATATGGCTGCACCAGGCCTTTTCTTTTTTTAAAAAAATAGATTTTTTTTCACTAAAAGAAAATGATAAAAAAGAAGAATATTGGAAAAAATAGTCCGGTCTTTCCATTTATGATCAATCTTTGTACTTATGACCACATCACTGTCCCCATGGCCAATGATTGCAATTCAGATGCTGGGAAACTGGTTCACATTTATGACCCATTGCAGTGTCCTGCGGTCATGTGTGCAGTCTCCTGATTGCAATTTGCAAGGGTTCAGCAAAAAACACCCATTCAGAAAAATGGTTTCACACTTAGAACTCCAGCATTCGCTTAATGACCATTGTAAAAATGATTATCAAATTGGGTCTAACTTGACTTATGACCACACTGTCTTACAATGGAAATTTCACTCTCTGTTGTGTGCGTAAATTGAGGCCTTCTTGTATTAATCTTAAGTCACGCATCCAAACTGTAATTTCCATTTTGGAAACCTATAATATTTGACTCAGGGACTTTTATGCTTCCCCCCCCTTCTCTTGGTTACTCTACCACCTTACCTAATAGAGAATTTTGGAGAATTTGACCATTTTTGTTGTTGGTTAATCCTGAGTGTGTGGATATGGAGTTACAGCATAAAGGCAGAGACTTCAGATCTATTTATGATAAAAGGCTAATTGTTTCCAGATTGTAAAGATGCTTTTTTTTTTACTGTTTTTAGAGATCACTTTATCATTTGCCCAACCATAGATATGGCGAAGGAATGGGCTAACAACAAGAGAGGAAATATTTTCATGTACCATGTGCCAGACAGCAGTTCCTTGAGCAGGTAAGGATAATCTTTTGACCTAGCTTACTTGTAAAATGATTTAGATAAGAGTAAAAGTGTTCTTTGGATCATTCCTTATGCTCATGATGACTAGGGAACTGAAGGCTAAAACATATAAAGAACGGTTGCTGGAATTGGGTATGTCTAGTCTAATGAAGAGAAGGACAAGGGGTGACATGATAGCACAGTTCCAATATCTCAGGGGCTGCCACAAAGAAGAGGGAGTCAAGCTATTCTCCAAAGTGCCTGAGGGCAGGACAAGAAGCAGTGGATGGAAATTAATCAAGGAGAGAAGCAACCTGGAACTAAGGAGAAATTTCCTGACAGTGGAACAATTTGCCTCCAGAAGTTGTGGATGCTCCAACACTGGAAATTTTTAAGAAGACTTTGGACACCTATTAGTTTGAAATGATATAAGGTTTCCTGCCTGAGCAGATGGTTGGATTAGAAGACCTTCAAGGTCTCCTCCAAATTTGTTACTCCGTTATTCTGATAACTAAAGTTTAAGATAGTTCTTATGCCATTCTTGAGTGAGTTCCTGGTCCAATCCTTTTCTGGGCCTTTGAGGCAGGAGACAGATGTAGAAATAGAGGTGGAGCTGGCGGTAGAAAGTATTAGCTTTTCAGAAAGAGGTTAAAAGAACAAGGTCAAGAAAGAAAGAACAATGGAGCTTCAGCTTCTAGTTTCTATATAAGAGGAAAACACCAGAGTAAAACCAGTAAAAGAGAGTAAGAATAATTGAGCTGAAAGCATGTCTGTTTTCACTTTTTATTCTACCTTGCATGCAAAGCATCAAAACCACTTTTTCTGCATTCTACTTCCTCTTATATGAGAAGATAGTTTGCTTCTGTTGAAGGAAAAGTCTTCATCATGGTTCAGTCCAAGCAGGGAATAAACAACATGGTGACTGCTTTAGGAAGAAGGTTGCAGTTTATTGAAGAGGAGAGCCAGACAGAAAGATGGCTCTGGAAGAAAAAAGAGAGCACATGTAGGGAGTGGGTTTTTATACCATCTGGAGTCTTTTGTTTGGAGTTGTTCCTGTGGCACGAACTTTGACCTGAGTCTGAGTGTGCCTTTTGGTATCTCTGTGTTAATCCTATTATGTCCTGTCTTAGAGTTTGGGTGGGGTATGTAGATTTTAGGTGTCTTTGTCTTCTTAATCTTCTAGCTGGGGGGCTCACATCTGCATTTATACATAGCTGGTTTCTGCTTGGAGGAGGGGGAGACTTGAGACTATTAAGAAAATTGGGCATGCTTTTCTGCCTCTTTAAGATCCTTTGAGCAAATATATTTTTCTGCCCCCTTCTCTGGGGGGCTGACTTCCCACACTTCCATTGGTTCTAACTATTGGAAAGTGTTTGTAGAGTTTTCAGAAAAGATTGTTTTCTCTATCACCAGCTACGTTTTAGCTAGAACAGGGGTGTCTGACCTTGGCCACTTCAAGACATGTGGACTTCAAGTCCCAGAATTCCCCAGCCAGTTATGATGGTTGGCTGGCTAACTGGAGGAATTCTGGGAGCTGAAGTCCACAAGTCTTAAAGTGGCCACGCTTGGATACCCCTAAGCCAAAATGAAGACATCTTTCATAGATGTCTTTCATATGTTCCTTGATATATTCAGTGTCTTTGATAGATGTTTCCATTTAGTCTTGAACGGTGTGCATTAGCACATTCACGGTTGTTAAGTGAATCTGGTTTCCTATTGACTTTACTTGTCAGAAAGTCTAAAAAAGTGATCATATCACCCTGGGACACTGCAACCATCATAGGTATGAGTCAGTTGCCAAGCGTCTGAATTTTGACCACGTGACCACGGGGATACGGCAACGGTGTAAAAAATGGTCCAAAGTCACTTTTTAAAGTGCCGTTGTAACTTCAAATGGTCACTAAATGAACTGTTGTTGAGGTCTATCTGCATTATCAAATAAATCACCACCGCCTTCTTTTGAGATGTTTTTTTTTTACTTCCCTGTCTAGCCAGTCCCCACATTTACATTACTAAAGCTGAGCTGCAATTGAATTAATTAGCTAGTTCTCTGTGGACCATCAGCCTTGGGGCAGTAAGAACTTAATCTAAGCTTTTTTGTCTCCATAATTTCTTGACTTCAGTTCCTAGACTAACTAGCCAATGGTCATTAGGAAAGCTGTACAAAACCCCAGAATTCCTTTATTTTCATAAGAGGTTTTGGACTGAGCGAGAGACTAAAATCTGGAGTAATGAAATAAAAACTGAAACATCTCCAGCGTAGTTTAAATCTCACTTTGGGAATATGCGTACAGTGTTTATTTAGTGACATCTGTGCTAATTTTGCAAGAAATGTGAAAAAATAGGGCTTGTGAGCATTTCTTGGTGAGCAAATGGAAATCCCATGGCAGGCAGTTAACTTCCTTTTGAATCTGGCACAATGTCTGATTTAGTCAAATTTCTGTTTACATTGAGCCTTTTAAACTTCTATTTGATATGGTCTTTCGTTAATTTTTGTACAAACACAAATATTGACTGATGTCTTGTCCAAACATTCTTTCTAAATGATTTAAGTCTCAAATTAAGAATTCTGAGATGCAGTTCACTCATTCTGTGTCCAGTGATTTGAAGATAATAGGCAGAATTATCCTGTTGGCTTTACCGAGATCATTTTAATATTTGTAAGTATATTATAACAGTGTGAAAATTCCTAAGGAAGTAGCAAAGAATTGCAAAATAGTGTACCCAGTGTTGCGTCACAGTTCAGCAGCAGATAAATTGGTAAAGCAAATTTATCTGGAATATGACTAACAACCCTTTGTTTAGCAACCGTTCAAAGTCACAACAGTACTGAAAAAAGTGACTTATGACCAGTGCTTTCACACTTATGACCATCACAGTATCCCTGTGGCCACATTATCAAAATGTGGACTCTTGGCAACCAGCATTCAGACAGTTGCAGCATCCCTGCATCACATGATCTCCATTTATGACCTTCCCAGATGGTTTCCAACCAGCAAAGTCAATGGGGAGAAGCTGGATTCGTTTTACGTCTATGTGATTCACTTAACAAATGCAGTTATTTGCTCAATAACTGTGGAAAAACAGGTCGTAAAGTTGGGCACTGTCACCTGGTGATCTGCTTAACAACTGGCGTGACTTAAGACCATAGTTCCAAGTTGTAATTCGAGGACTACCTGTAACAACAGTGCCTTACTGTGTCCAAATTGTAGCATTTCTATGTGTTTCATGAATGTTTATAACCCTTTCAAATAAAACATGCTTAAATCTAACCCAAATCCCCTCAGATTTGATGTATATTGGATGTATCCAATCAGAGGCACCCAAGACTGGTTTAAAAAAAAAAATCAAGATGGAAGGGGCTGTTCCTCTGTCAAAACCCTACTGTTCTTTCATAGATGTGTCATGCAATGAATGTGAAAAGGAGACAGGATTTCAGTCATTAGTTTTGACACAAATTCCCCTACATGCAATCTCCTCCTCATAGCCATACTAAAGGGGTGATGCAGACATCTGAACCCCATAAAAAACAGGGGTGGGTAGCTTAGGATTTAAATGACTTATGTAACGACCCCTAAGTTCGCCATCTTGATCTTGAATGCCAAACTGTTGATTTTATTTCACTATGTGGTTCCCCCCCCCCCATTTTCTGGACGTTTAATGCTAAATTAGATCAGCTGAAAGCTTGCTACCCAGTGAAGTGAGTCTGTTGTAGTCCTCGGCTTACGTCCACAACTGAGCCCAAAATTTCTGTGGCTAAGCAAGACAGTTGTTAAATGAATTTTGCCCCATTTTACGACTTTTCTTGCCACAGCTGTTCAGTGAATCACTGCAGTTGTTAAGTTAGTAACACGGTTGTTAAGTAAATCTGGCTTCCCCCTTGACTTTGCTTGTCAGAAAGTCGCAAAAGGGGATCACGTGACATTGGGACACTGCCACCGTCATAAATATGAGTTAGTTGCCAGCGTCTGAATTTTAATCATGAGACCACAGGGATACTGCAATGGTAATAAGTGTGAAAAATAGTCATAAGTTACTATTTTCAGTTATGCTGTAACTTCAGTCACTAAAATAATGGTTGTAAGTCGAAGTCTACTTGCATTCTCCTCAAGATTAAGGCCTCCTGATATTAGCCAGGATTACTGTCAGCCATCTGGATGGTTTTGAAGTTGGAAATAAACCTGGTTCTCATCATTCTTGGTAACAGAGCATCTTATTCACTATGGCAAGGGTGTAGAAATGGGAAGGCCTGGAAAAAAAACCTGGAAAAAATTAAAAAAACACAGTTTTTCCCCCTGTCCCCCACTTTCCCCCCCCCAAAGCTGTTTGGAACTGTTTCCCCCCCAATTTTTCTAGTTTTTTCCCCCATCTCTACAAGGGTGGGGTAGTATAATTATATAATTTGATTGGGAGCTGCCTTGAATTACTTAGAAAAATGGGCAGCTATATAAATGTTTGAATGGATGAGTGACTAAATAGGGTTCCTGCCTGAGCAGGGGGTTGGACTCGATGACCTCCAAGGTCCCTTCCAACTTTATTATTATTATTATTATTATTATTATTATTATTATTATTATTATTATTATTATTATTATTATTATTATTATTATTATTATTATTATTATTATTATTATTATTATTATTAAATAAAATAAATTGTGCTAGGCCTCTCCCATGTTCTCCTGAAAACTGCTTTTTCTCCCTCATACTCTTTTTTTTTTTTAAAAGAGAAGAAAAATAATTTTGGGGGTGATGGGCTTTGAACTGAATTCTTCCCATTTTCTCTGGAAGCGTTTTAGAAATTTATTCTAAGAATTTTCTTATCTTTTTATATGTTTGTACTTTATTAATTCGGCTCAGAGATGTCCACATGGTACGGTCCTAAGAGTGAAGATGGTGGTGTACTTGAACCTCTTCTATCTTTATATATAAATGGCAATAAGCACAAAAGCATAAAAATGGATGGAGCTTTGTTCATTCCATTCTGGGCGCCATCTTGATTTTTTGGGACCATAGCCGGTGGACATTTCTGATTCAAGGGCTGCTTAACTTTCTACCATAGCTTCTAGGATTAAAGCCACTTCAGCCATTCATATATCATTTTAGCTCAGCACATCTATTTATTTATTTATTTATTTATTTAATTTATATCCCGCCCTTCTCCATTTGGACTCAGGGCGGCTAACAACCAGATAAAACACTAATCCCCAAAAACTACAATTTAAAAACATAAGTAAAAACAAATATTAGTAATTGGTCAAGTTAATTTAAAAATTACTTTAAAACCCCATTAAAATTTTCCCCTAGGCCAGTCCTGCAAGTTGGAATAGCCATGTCTTAAGGGCGCGGCGGAAGGAAGGGAGATCAGGGATCACCCTGATCTCTGGGGGTAGCTCATTCCAGA